GACATTGTCTTGAATGTAGCTAATATTTTACCAAAAACTTTATTATTTACTGCTGGAGTTGGCAAGGTTAGCCATTACAGAATTCTCAACTGAGCACTAAATGTCTGAATAACAAGGTTTTGCATAGCCCTAACAAAACCAATTTGAGGCAGCCTCGGACCTTACCTAATCAGACATTTCCTCAAAGATCTGATTTACCTCCTTATGGTCTTTAGTTACACTGGTACAGCATTTATTAAGTAGGAACAGACTACATCACTGAGAACTCCAGTCAGCTAAAGGATACCAATAACAAGGCTGTAAAAAGATGTGAAACCCCACTTTTGAAAGAAGAGTATTAACTGTCATGAAAAGCTGTCATTTTACAGAGAGGATAAGCTACTTTTGTGAAATCGAAAAACAGCCAGGCACTAGCTCCTCCTTCAAATGTCTATCTTCAGGCATTCCTATAAGAAAACCAGTTCTTCCTTAAACTTCCTTGTCACCTTTCTTTCTTCCTCATGGCTCTCTCTATGATTATATAAAAGTAATGGTTTTATCAAATTCACTCCATACTTATTAAAGCATATTGCTTGTTTGCTAAACATTGAAGCACTACTAAAATGAGTAAAAAATAGCCTTTGCCATCAAGAATTGCAGTACAGGAGAAAAAACAGTTACAAATACAAAAGTGAATCAAATATCAGAAAGAAAGTACACAAAGTACAAAGGAAGTTTAAAGAAAGAATGTGTTCACATCAGCTGCAGTGACTAACAGAAGCTTAAGGGAAAAAGTAGTAGTTGAGATTAGCTTTGAAACAGTAAGAATGATTTTGACAGCTGATATGGTTTAAATGTCCCCCCAAAACTCACTGAGGCTTGATCCCCATTATAACAGTGGTAAGAGGGTGGGAAATCAGACAGACTATGGTATTTGAAAGGTGGAGGTTTTGGGAAGTGATTGAATCATGAGGACTCTGTCCTCATGAATGGATTAATCCATTCATGGATTAATGGGTTAATTGTTAATGATTTATCAGGGAGTAGACTGGGGGTTTTACAAGAAGAGGAAGAAAGCATGTGGAAATACACTGTTATTGCTCAGCCCTCCTTACATGATAACTCGCATTGTTGCCACAGGACTCTTTAGACAGTCCCAACCAGGAAGAAGGCCCTCGCCAGAGTTTCTTCCTGGACCTTGAACTTCCCACCCTCCAAAACTGCAAGAAGTAAATTCTGTTTCTTTAAAAATCACCCAGTTTCAGGTATTCTGTTATCAGCCACAGAAAACAGACTCATACATTAGAAAATGAGGGAAGGACATCCCAAGAAGAGGGAAGACACATTGTGTCCCTATGCCTAAGGCATAGAGTTCAGATGTTTGGAACATTTTTCTACCATGATACAATTTACAAATGACTTTTCCTATGCCAGCCCACCATGCCTACTCCTATGCAGGCCCTCAGAAGCATGAGTAAAATAGGCTGCCTGCCATGTACAATCCCCAGTAAGCCCAATTCCTCTCTCACATCCAAGAAAATATACCAGAATGTGAGTGAGTTAAAATGATCTTATAATAGGTCTAACCTTTAATCCACTTTCATTTTTATTTTATTTATTTTTTTTAAAGATGACCGGTAAGGGGATCTTAACCCTTGACTTGGTGTTGTCAGCACCACACTCTCCCAAGTGAGCTAACCGGCCATCCCTATATAGTGATCCAAACCCATGGTCTTGGTGTTATCAGCACCACACTCTCCCAAGTAAGCCACAGGCCGGCCCCACTTTCATTTTTAAAGAAAATAACTTGCTATCTTTATTTATTTAATGGCTGGATAGTTTTTTGTTTGTTTGTTTTTGCTGGCCAGTACAAGGATTGAACCCTGGATCTTGGTGTTACCAGCACTGTGCTCTAACCAAGTGAGCTAACCAACCAGACTTGCTAACTTTAATATAGTTTTTAGTCAAAAATTGCTTGCTACACCCCCACGACAGATGATAATAACAGGTTAAGAACCACCAGTCTGATGGATGGGACATGAAGGTGAAAAGCATTGGTCAGAGCTATCCCTAGGTAGTCTCAAATACAAATCAAGACATCTAAACAGTAAAGAGAAATAATTCAGGCTCAGGGCCGGCCCGTGGCTCACTTGGGCGAGTGTGGTGCTGATAACACCAAGGCCACGAGTTCGGATCCTATATAGGGATGGCTGGTTCGCTCGCTGGGTGAACATGGTGCTGACAACACCAAGTCAAGGGTTAAGATCCCCTTACCGGTCATCTTAAAAAAAAAAAAAGAAAGAATTTAGGCTGCATTTGGAAAGATTTTTCTGGACGTGTAGAGAAAAGGATAGTGCAATTAGAAATTTATTACAAAGGTCCCATTTAGTTAGGGGTAATAGAAGCCTAAATCAAGATATTACTGGAAAAAAAGATTTTGAAACTGAGAAATGCGGCAAATATAGAATATAAGTTTTGTGAGGGCATAGTTCTGACTTGTCAACCTCTGTATCTCTACTGGTCTCTAGCTCAATAAATAATTGTTGAATGAATAAGTTTTTGGTGGAGAGGCAGTATATTACAGTGGTGGTGCCCGAGTGCTTGGGTTCAAATCAAGCTCTTCCCCTTACCAGCACTATGACCTTGGGCAAGTTACTTGACCTCTATGCCTCAGTTTTTTCATCTATAAAATGGGGCTGATAATAGCATCTAGGTTATAGGGTAGTTTCAAGGATTAAATGAGGATAATATATAAAGTGCTTAGAAGAGTGCCTGACAAATATACGTGCTATATAAAAGTAGCTATCATTTTTATTAGTGAAACATTGTACCTTTAACAAAACTTCAGAAGGGAAAAAGTTTTGGGGAAGAGTAATCCTTAACAATGAGAGTGTTTAGTTTGGCAGCCCAGTCGAGATGCCAGATAGTGTGGATTGGAGGCTTGGGAGAAAGGATGGGGTTACAGACTTAAGAGTTCTGACACCCACCACTTCCTTCGCTCCCCACAGCCCTCCCATCTCGCACCAAGCTCTAGCCACACTAGCCTCTTGCAGTTCCTCCAACAGGTCAGTTTCTTTCCTGCCTCAAAACCCTCCCACTGCTGTTCCCTCATCTTGGAGACTCAACAAATATTTAATGATTCAACAGATATATTTGCAACTCTTTTAAAAGGAGCAAATGTTAAATCCCTGAGAACGTACGAAACTGCGCTGGAAGAAAGTATCAGAAAAGAAGATAAAAGGTGCAAGTACAGAAAGGAGGAGTCAGCAAATGCAAAGGCACATTCAGGGAGTAACCAGAATGGGTGGAGCAAAGTTTGAAGGAGATGGGTAAGACTACATGCTCAGAGGAGGCAAGGAGGGTGAAGACTAAAAAGAATCGCTGGGTTTGGCAATAATTTCAGGAAAGAACGCTGAGAAAGGGGCGGGGGGAACAGAGGTCGGATTATTAAGGAGAAGTCAACTAATATAGACTACTTTACCAAAATGTAATGTTTGATAAGGAAGAGAAGCAGGGTCCAGAGAAGGCGATTTTAGGGACAAACCCTGTTTTTAGGGTTTCTCTGGTAGGGTGTAAGGAAGATGGAGAGAGGCAAACACCTAAGGTAAAGAGAACAGAAAACATGAGGCCACTGCCTTATCTGATCGTCCCCCAGCTCCCTGATGATATACCCTCTAATTGAGTGGTTCTCAAAGTGATCAGCAGCATCAGGATCGCAGAGAACTTGTTAGAAAGGCGCATTCTTGGGTCCCATACCAAACCTACAGAATCAGAAACACCGCGGGTGGGATTCACAACCACCACGCTCAGGAGACGACGACAGAGACCTCTGCGAGACGTGGCGGCCGCAGTCGTAGGGCAGAATTTCCCTTCTCCACCCTCTGCCTGCGTCCTCCTCACTTCAGAGTGGCAGTCCCCACCCAACCAGCACCGCAGAGCAATGTCGCTCTGCTTCAGACTTGGCCTGACCGACTTCTGCCAACCCCCGCTAAGGCGGAGGCGAGGAGCGGCTCCCTTCACGCCTGCCAAGCCCCTGTGCCCGCCCTAGGCCTCGGCCGCCCTCGGGCTTGGACTTCCGGCGCCACAGGAGAGGGTAGGCGGGGAAGGGACTCCGGGAAGACGGGTTCTACTTGGAGACTGGCGGGGGGCGGCTTCGTTCTTCCAGTCCCGCCTTGTGCTAAGAGGCCGGATGACGCGGCGACGGAAGAAACACAGCTCGTCTAGGACAAGTGTCCAGGCAGCCTGGAACCCAAGAAGGGAATAAAGAAGCCCTGAAACCCCTCTTCCTACGTTCCCACCCCAAGCCCCAGGAAACGGAGACGGCGGAGGTTCAGTCCCCCGGTCCGGGCGGGGCGCGGGGCGGCGCTAGGGGCAGACATCTCGCGATAGGAGAGCGGCCGGGGCGGGGGTGGCAGCTCTTCCCCCCGCCTTGCGTTTGTTCCGGTCGCAGAGGAGACACCGCCGCAGTTGCCGCCACATCGGGGATTTCTGGCTCTTTCCTCTTCGCCTTAAATTCGGTGAGGCACGGCGTCCCGGTCGTCTCGGGCCGACGCTGTGGCCCTTCTTCGCCGGTCAGAGAGCGAGGGAGGCGACCGGCCCGGCTCGGATGGGCCCGAGCGGGCGCCGCCGCATGAGGCCGGGCCGGATCCGGGGCCTGGATTCAAGGGCCGGGGCCGCCGCTTCAGCTGGGAGGCTGTGGGA